ATATTTACAATAACGTCCCAGTGTAACATTATCTATCACAAACTACCCGTGCTATATTTACAATAATGTGCCAATATAACATCCCTCTGTGGGGCGTTAAAAACATTATATACCAGTAACCACGTGTGGTATATTTACAATAACGTGCCAATATAACATTATATACCACAAACTCTGTGTGGTATATTTACAATAATGTGCCAATACAACATTATATACCACAAACTATGTGTGGTATATTTACAATAATGTGTCAATATAACATTATATACCAGAAACAACATGTGGTATACTTACATTAATGTGCCATGTAACATTCTATAACACAAACTACCTGTGCTATATTTACAATAATGTGCCAATATAACATCCCTTAGTGGGGTGTTACAAACATTATATACCACAAGCTACGTGTGCTATATTTGCAATAACACACCAATATAACATTATATACCACAAACTACCTGTGCTATATTTACATTAACATGCCGATATAACATATACGCCAGAAACTACGTGTGGTATATTTACAATAACGTGCCAATATAACATTATATACCAAACACTACGTATGCTGTATTTACAATAACGTGCCAATATAACATTATATACCACCAACTAGGTGTGCTATATTTACAATAATGTGACAATGTAAACATTATATACCACAAACTCCCTGTGCTGTATTTACTATAACATGCCAAATATTACATTATATACCACAAGCTACGTGTGCTATATTTACAATAATGTGCCAATATAACATTATATACCACAAACTATGTGTGCTGTATTTACAATAACGTGCCAATATCTGTGACCTACGTTGAACAGTGTGTCCCCAGCCTAAACCCAGTCCCAAGTTTATGGTATATAATGTTACAAACATTATATCTGGTGCATAATGTTACAAACATTATATACCACAAAGTACGTGCGCTATATTTACAATAACATGCCAATATACCATTATATGCAAAAAACTATGTGTGGTATATTTACAATAACATGCCAATGTAACACCCCTCGGTGGGGCGTTACAAACATTATATACCAAAACCTAAGTGTGGTATATTTACAATAATGTGCCCATATAACATTATATACCAAACACTACGTGTGCTATATTTACAATAATGAGCCAATGTAACATTATATACCATAAGCTACGTGTGGTATATTTACATTAACGTGCCAATATAACATCCCTCAGTGGGACGTTACAAACATTATATACCAAAACCTAAGTGTGGTATAT